CCGTAGGCCGCGCCCAATCTACCCCCACCGCATATCACGCCGGTTTCCCACCAAACGATCCGGCTTCCCCTCTACGCTGCCGGCTTCCCCACTACAAAGGTGAGCCGCTCGTTGAGGAGGCGGCTTACGACGCGTGCGTGAGAGGAGGATACACGCTATCGCCTCTTCTTCAAAGGTTTTTTCCTCGGAAAATAAGCAGTGATTCCGTTTCTCGGTTTTTCTCACCTTCTTTTAATTGCGCACATGAGTCGATCCGTTTTCCACACACGCTTTGTCGCAAGAGAAGAATGTCATCGAACCGATTTGCAATTGAATTTCCCGCGAGATTCGCAGTTTCGCATCGACGCGCCCGGTTTGAAATCGATTTGTGCCCGTAAGGACTTTGTCTTTTTGTGTGAACTGCGATAAACGACTGAGATAAATTGAGATTTGGTGGACGGTAAATCGAGGGAAGAAGTTGGCTCGTCGCCGTAATCGGGGTCGATATGCGCCGTATCGCATAGTGCGTAGATACCAGAAGACGCGCGTCATTGACCGCGAGCGGAGGCGCCGCTCGGTGGACGCTGGTAGGTACTAAGATTAGGCACACATTGTACTATTGCGGTTAAGAATATAGTAATACTCCCAAATATTAAAAGAAAATAACAATATTTCCGTTCACAACAGTCGTTCATCGACTGTCTGACTCAAGAATTGTTTTTACAAACTGAACTTTGTTAATACTCGCACACATACCTAATTCTGTACAAGAGATTATAACCGATTGTTATAAATTATATTAATAAAATTCTATTTTATAGTTCAAAATTTTGGTTTTTTTCATTAATGTATAACGTGAAAATTTTACTTGAAAAAATAGATTTTCTATTTCGAGAACTTTTATAATTTAATTTAATATTTGAATTTTTTTTTTTTTAATTTAATTTTACGACAACTCTCAATCTTTTGTAATTTTTTAACCACATCTTCCATATTTTTATGTTTCGTATTTTCGACATTTTTCGTTCTATAATTTTGTGTCTTCAACGTTTTCTCCACAATATTATCTTGGGTTTCGAACGTTTCTGTATGCTCGTCTGTGATTTTTCTTGAACATATACCTGCTGCATTTTCACCACATTCCAAAGGTTTTGAACGGGTCTAAGGGTCTAAGGATCTTTCGAGCATCGTTTTACGATTGCACTGTTCTAAACGTCTTGCAAAGATGCCGATTCGTCTCGCTCTCGGTTTTATTATCTTTGTCGAATGTATGCGATATTTATTTTTCCTTTTTTATTTTTGCGCCAACGACAAAAGAGAGAAACCTCCTGTAACAAAAAATTTATGAGGTTTCTCGCCAGCAAACAAAATTATAATCCCGTCGTAGAGAGAACATTCAGAGGATTCTTTCGGTTTTCTCTAGTTTCTCTTGTAAAAAATATTTCAAAAATTCAGACGTTTTTCCAAAAGAAAAACGTTTATGAAAATTATCTCGCTTTTGCTTGCGTGCAAATTATCCAAATTAACTGAAGGTAAATCTCTCTTCCCTCTTTGTCGCACAATGGCCATTTGAATTTTGATTTGGCGAATCTCCACCGGGGCACACAATTCGTCGTCGTCGTCGTCGTCTTTGATCGTTGACTTGTTGAAGAGCTCTCTCCGCCGATCAGCTTGCGACCAGCAGGGGGTCGCAAGCGTCGTACAGTTCTATCGCGGGACTGACTTGAAGTGCTGTCATCCATTGTTCCAAGAAATAGATGTTCGACTCATTAATGCCGGAAACTGCGGCAACTATACTCAGTCAATTTCTCGTGTACAGCATCTCGAAGCGGGGTTTCGAAATCGGCCGATCTCCAGAGAGATTATCGGGAGGAAGGGGGTCTCTCGCGCGCCGAGGGTTGATTCCGTTACGGGGTCTCTTTTGTTAGTTCAGGTAGAGAAGAGGAAGAATTTCGTCCTCTCTTTTGTGCGCGTCCGCAGGTATATATGGGTGCAGATCGCGCCGGGTATATGTGTATATATATATATATATATATATATATATATATATATATATTCCTGTCGTTCTTATGATCCGCTGGTCATTATCTTCGCCGATGTGTGACGAGGGTGTTATCCTTGAAATAAATTTATCATTTATAGCACTGCGCGCGCGGATTCGTATCTACAGGAACGAACCTACTACGAAGGATCATCGAGTGCATTTTTCTTCAGATCGCCGACACTCGCATAGTAACGTCGTGAAAACGTATGTTGCGAAGCAACGTGCGCCATTCTATGCCGTTCAAAAATTTAGAAGCAGAAAAAATTTTTCTCAAATAAAATGATCACTTAGAGATGTGATTGGAAATAAACAATTGTGTGTGTTAGTAAAATTAACCACGAGCTGAACAGTAACAACTTGATGCGTTCACGTAAAATCTCTTAATTAACCTAACAATTTATGATGATAAAATATAAAATAAAATCTCGAGGTTTTGAGAGATTATATTATTAAGATAATATTTCACTATCCTGTACAGAGCTTGTCAAGTAATTAAAAAGTTTTATGTTACAACACCCGTCAAATCGTTACTGCTCGGCTTTGATCTATAATTGCAATATTAATTTATAACAAGCGATTGTATTCTAATTGAAGCGCAGCGAGTTAAAATAAAATTTCTCATTCTCTACACTTTTCCTCTAAAAATATTAACACTTTTGTTTTAAGGAAACGCAGTTTTAGTTTCTTTTTCTCAATGTTTTTTACCGAACAATTTACAAACAACACGACTATAAAACCGTACACGTGCAATGACTACATTTTCGATCGCACGTCCCGATAACAATTCTCTCTTTTTCTCAACGTAACGATCTTAACGATTATATTGATGCGCGCATAAGTTTAATCGGTAAAATAAATCCGCGCGAGACAATGGCCGATGATGATTGTATTATCATACAATTATATCACACATCTCCGTCGCGAAACAATGAAGTGATTTGACTCGAGAAGCGAGACAGGAGAAAAAAAATGAAGAAACTTTTATAATATATCCTTTGTCCCTTTCTCGCGCATAAGTCTCCGCAACCACGTGTTCAAACGCGCGTTTCTCTGTGTTACCGTAAGTCATCGCGCGTATCGATCGACCATCTTGTCTCGATCAGACTAATTCCGTTGAATGGCCGATCGATTATCCCCTCGGTTGAGCATAAATCTACGCGACGGCGCCCCGGAAAACAAGCGCCTTCCGTTATTTGTAACTTCCTCGTGTGCGTTTTGCTTTGGAAAATTGCCGTGAAATCTCACACAGATTTTACGATCAATTACAAAATTGCGATATAAATTGCGTTAAATCTCTGTGTGTGTGTGTGTAGAAAAATTATTGTGTAAATTCGGGAAAATGCACGTAAGAAAAAATGTCCGCGCGAGTGACAAAAAGTGAACTATACTCGGCGTCGGTTGCCGAGAACTGCATGACGCGTCGGCTATTCTTTGTTTCTAATTTAAATGAGGGAGGGGGGGGGAGGATTGGGATAGGTTCAGGTAACGTTTAAGGATAATTAATAGTTGCATGGCTCGTAAATACCGCTATCAGTGAAGCGTGCGGGGCCTGAAGTGCGCGTGGGATCATCGGACAAATGGTTTCCGGGCGTATAAAATTTAATGGGCTGGCCTTCACCAGCCTTTGGCAGAACTCTTCGATTTCGACAGGACTGTTCAAGGTCGGTCGAAACGGCCGGATGTATAAATAAAAGGGAAACCCTTCAAAAGTGGTCTCGAATATATTCTGCCATTGAGGCTGTGTCGTTAAAATTCCACAAGGAAAAACCTTCGTAACAATAAAATACGTTCTTTCAGAAAAAAATTCAAAGATCGACACTTCGAAGTCCTCCGTGTGCAATTTTTTTCTGTTTCAAATGAGATCGCAGTTGAACGTTTGGTGCTTCAACACCGAGTAGCGCAGAGACAACCCGGAAATTGAGGGTAGTTTTAACCCCTTCGGAGAGACAGGAGAGGGCGGATCGGTATAAGCACACTGTGAAGGAGATCCGAACATTTCGGATCTGGAGGAGAGAAGGTAGCGCTTCGGAAAAGAGGACAGTGTGAAAGATGAGAAGAGGAAGAGAAAGAAGACGAGGTGAAAGAGGCGATGTGAGAGAAGCGTGGTGTAAGGGAACAGAACTAAGGAGAAAGCAACGAGGAGAGAGAGAGAGAGAGAGAGAGAGAGAAAGAGAGAGAGAGAGAGAGAGAGAGGGAGAGAGAGACATTCGGTGGGAGGAAGGGAGAAATTGCGAGGGTGCGTTATAAGGGCGGCACAGTCTCCGGAATCAATAGCGACCACGCACCCCTTGGAGAATTTTCGCGCCGAAGGACATACTCTTTCGAAAAGAACCTTTTATTCGGTCTTTCTGGCAGACTTTGAAGAGATCAGTCTTTTCTTCAAAGTGCTCGATTCAGACTCGATTTATTTTGCAAGTGTTCGCGATTGTTTTTCTTTTTTTTTTCTTTTTGACTTTTCCTCACACAAGCGGCTCTACAGGCATCGATCGAATTGCAATTCTTGCTCTAAAACGTTTTTCTTCTACGATTTGACTATTGCGAGCAAAACTTTTTCTCTCCAATTCTCACGAGTTCTCTTGTTAATCAAAATGATAATTTGGTTCGATATAAAGTTTTCTCATATCGAGTTCTTCGATCTGTCGATTTGTAACTTCTAAGATCACGAAATTGCGAAGAAGTTTTCGAGTACGAGTCATTTTGAAACTGTAAAATGTTTGATCGCACACGCTCGAATTGTAACAACAAATTTGTAATTTTTAATAACTATTGGTTATTTTAGACAGAGAGAGAAAATGTGTTGTAGACGCAAATTTTTCATACGCGATGTGCGATCGTCATTCGCGCTGGATCCATTTTCGCATTTTTTGTTTTTTTTTTTCTATACTACAAGGGCAGGAGAGCAGGAGATGCAAAGAGATGTCGTGTATAAGAAAGGTGAGCCGCGAGCCGAGGGAGAGAGGGAAGAAAAATCACTCACCTCCATCCGTTGCCGACCCGGTCGACCGGAGATTCTGGTAGGGCGGTGCCGCTACCCCTGTAAGCAGGAAAAGACATTCTATAGGATATGCAGGGACGTGAGGATCCGGACGGATTAGAGGTGGAGCTAAAAAAGCGAAGGATGAAGGACAATCGCGCGCGCGCGCGCGCTTTTTCTCAGCGCACTATTTTCCTCAGCGTGCGTTTCTCTCTTCGTGTACACCCACCACAAGCAAATGTTAATGTTTGTGACGCGATGCGTTTACATACAAATATCGTTTTAGCTGTGCGGAATAAACTAGACGTGCTTGCTTTTGCGATGATAGCGTAAGTGCAACGATGACGTAATCACGACACAATTAAAGCAGCGACATAGACGTCGTGGTGTTTAAAAAATACGTTAGTAAAAAATTTATTTACAATTATTTTGTGTGAAATCGATGTCTCGTTTTTTCTTACGTGTGCACGTTTTAATCTAGTGCGTGTAATATCTTAAAAATTAATAAACTCTCAGAACAATTGAGAAATTTTTACGTTAATTGTCAGATGTTTGACGTATCTCCGATAATTTTTTCTCTGACAAATATCCGGCCGTTTGGACACTTGCCTCGTACGTGCAGGTTACAACATGCGGCCGATAAATCGCTTAAATAAATACCAGCTGATGAGCCGAGAAGAAGACGAAGCTCGCCGAGTCACGCTGAGTTTCGCGTTAGAGGGGAAAAAAAGCCTCGCTCGCTTCTCCAATTAACTGCCTATCGCGACGTGCATATTAAAGATATTGCGGCGGTGGCGGCGGTGGCGACGAAGAAAGAACGAAAGAACACGAAAAAAAGCAACGAAACAAAAACAAAAAAAAAAAAAAAAAAAAAAAAAAATTAATAATAACCGCGTCGTTCGAGATACGCATCTGGTCTGGT